CTGAGTTTAATCTGAGTGCAACTGGCAAAAATGGGTGGTTTTCAGCCGGGAAGTGCCATGGGTCTGGACACGGCCTCTTCTGGTTACTGGCCCTGGGCTGGGCTCTCTTTCACCTCTCTGTGTTTTCGTTTCCTCTTCCGTAAGATGAGACCAATCCTGTAGCTACTTCAAAAGGTTTTAGTGGCCGTTACCCAGGAGGAGGTGGGTCATGCGTTTACATGGAGCCCCCCATAGAATACAGGCTCAATAAATGTTTGTTTATTTAAGTGACTGAAAAATCTCTGACACTCCTCCCGTTGAGGGCAGGGGTCTGTGTCCCCTCCTGAATCTAGCTGCTTGGTGGGTACTCTGACCGATGCAACGGAGGTCACACTGCATGACCCCCGAGGCGGGGTCACGAGAGGCCGCACAGCTTCTGTCTGGTTCTTGACTACGGTAGCCCTCCACGTGCTTCCCCTCGGGAGGCTCCCTCTTGGAACGCAGACACCCACGTCGGGAGGAAGCCCAGGCTCCGGGGGGAGCCACAGGAGGGGACAGTCCAGCTGAGCCCAGTCTCCAAGCCATCCGAGCTGGGCACAGGGCTGGTGAGTGAAGAAACCTCCAGATGGCCCCAGCCTGCAGCTGCCTGGATCACCCCCAATCACTGGATTCGTCCCAGCCAAGGCCCCAGCTGAGGCCCTGGGCTTCGTGGAGCAGAGGCCAGCCATCGCCCTGAGCTGAGTCCAAACTCTCAACCTGCCAGAGGAGGGTCCAAGAGCACAAGAGCATGGCGGTGGGTTGGGGTGGTTTGCTACACAAGTGGCCATAGGTCATCAGAACCGCCAGCCAGTGGTTACTATGGTTACATCAGCCCACCCCCATCTCCGGGGCCCCCTGGCCCACATCACCCTCACGTGAGCACCCACGGCAGTGTCTTCTCCAACACTCATTTTGGCTTAATCATAGATGATCTAGATTTGTGGTTTGATAACTTGTTTTCTATTTTTTTATAAATTTATTTATTTATTTATTTATCTATTTATCTTTGGCCGCGTTGGGTCTTCGTTGCTGCGCGCGGGCTTTCTCTAGTTGTGGCGAGCGAGGGCTACTCGTCGTTGCGGAGCGCGGGCCTCTCATTGCGGTGGCTTCTCTTGTTGCAGAGCACGGGCTCTAGGTGCATGGACTTCAGTAGTTGTGGCTCACGGGCTCTAGATCACAGGCTCAGTAGTGGTGGCGCACGGGCTTAGTTGCTCCGCGGCATGTGGGATCTTCCCGGACCAGGGCTCGAACTCGTGTCCTCTCCATTGGCGGGCAGATTCTTAACCACTGCATCACCAGGGAAGTACCTAGATTTTGTTTTATATTTTCATCACCCATATCCATCTCTAGACAATATAGTTTAATCTTGCCCTTTTGAAATACTTAAGTCTTTCCTTTTATGGACCGGTTTTTAGGTTAATTAGCTGGCTCCCTTTCATCTTCCACAGCTGACCATTCAGGGTTTTTGTTTAATATCACTATGAGCACATGGACATAGACACATTTGAAAGTTTTAATCGATTGCAATTACTGTCCTTTCCAGGCTCAACCTGACCCATCTTTCGCCAGTGGACACCCCTATAAGTTGGATCCAGAGACCTTTCTACAGGACCCTAGTCCCTGGCGGTTTTTTCTCTGTGTGGGGTGTCAAGATGGTCCAGGCTCATCTTGTTTATTTCCTGCCCCAGACCTGGAACCAGCCGTTTCTCCAAAAAGCCCTGGTTTCTTTATTTTTTTAAAAAAATATTTTTAAAAAATTAACTTATTTTGTTTATTCACTTTTTTTTTCGGCTGCATTGGGTCTTCGTTGTTCCATATGGGCTTTCTCTAGCTGCAGTGAGAGGGGGCTACTCTTCGTTGCGGTGCGTGGGCTTCTCATTGTCATGGCTTCTCTTGTTGCGGAGCATGGGCTCTAGGTGCGCGGGCTTCAGTAGTTGTGGCGCACGGGCTTAGTTGCTCCGTGGCATGTGGGATCTTGGTGGACAAGGGCTCAAACCGTGTCCCCTGCATTGGCAGGTGGATTCTTTTTTTTTTTTTTTTTTTGCGGTACACGGGCCTCTCACTGCTGTGGCCTCTCCCGCTGCGGAGCACAGGCTCCGGATGCGCAGGCTCAGCAGCCATGGCTCACGGGCCCAGCCGCTCTGCGGCATGTGGGATCTTCCCGGACCGGGGACACAGGTTCGTGCCCCGGTCCGGGAAGATCCCACATGCC